CTTTTGAGTTGGATCTCAAGCTCTAGCCCAATGTCTCATGAAGGGCTTTGACTTGGACTGAAGCTGAGCACCCCCAACTCTGGGGCTGCTTGAGGATGTGATTCCCCTCCAAGCAAGTCCTTGAGACCAAAAGTAAAGTCTTGGTCCACTGAAAGGTCCCCAACTGTTTCTTGTTGTCCCCAAGGAGGGGATTCGGCCACTCTCAGGTTAGGATCCAGGCTGATAACGGATATTTCACTGGGCAGAACCAAAGCCCCTATAACGTGGAACAGTTGTTAAGTTGTTAAAATTTTGATTTAACATTGTTAAAGAGCTGCGATGGCTGAGACCCTTTCATCATTTCATCCCTCAATGTATGCTTCAAAAGAGATTAACAGAGAAGTTGGGGAAAAGAAACTGGTACACTCTAAAGAATATAATTTTAAAACACATTTTCTATCCCCTGTGAAGCTTCCAGCATGCAAAAAAAAAAGTGAAATGTACAACTTAGATAATATCTGATGAACTCAGTTCTGCACAGTCTGCCTTTTATTGAAACCTCCTGTGGCATCATAAGAGACTCACTGAGATATCTGTTAATGAAAAGCTGGACAGCAAGAAAACGGTAATAAGGACTTTTTATCTCTGGCAGTCTTCTAATAAAAAAATGAAAGTAAGTTCATTTTAATTGATGAAAGAAATACAGATTTCATCAAGTTGGAAAGGCAAATAAACACTGCCTAGCGCCGGAGGCGAGGATGGAAAACAGCATTCCTCTGTGCTTCTTGGTTAGAGATGCTGAGCATCACCTATTGGGGCATGAATTAGGTTCATGGTAATTGTTTTCGTATTTGGTTTTCCTAGGATTAGCATCATTTCTTGTTTATAAAGGCATATTTCCAATGATGAACACAGTGCCTGACACAGAGTCGGCGCTCGATAAATCATTCTGAAACGGATGAATAAAAGATAATGTGGGATCTCTTCCTGCAGGGATTTATTACTTGGGAAGAGAAGACACAGGCACACACATACAGACATGCATACACACACAAATGATGCTTTCTATCACTTTATTCGCTGTTAATATTTCACTGGTATTATCTGATTATTACACTATTGGTTTTGCAGTGTTTGTTAATAAGTCTTAAAGGTGGTCAAAAATGTTCTTTGTACCCTGGACTGTGTCCAGTTCTTCCCATGCTCTGGCCTTAGGCTTGCCTCCCATCTCTGCCTGGCATGTTTGTCTTCCTCAATAGTTGATTAACCCCTGTTCATCCTTCAAGACCCAGCAGAAAACTCACTTCCTCTGGGAAGGTCTTCCTCACATGATTGCCTGGGCAATTATCTGGCCCTGCTGCATGTTCCAGAGCAACATTCAGAATTACACTTGTGATTGCTCTTCCTGATGGAGAATGAGCCCCAGGAGGGCAGGGTCAGCCTCTGTCTCATTCATCTCTCCCCTGGGGTTCAGCATAGTAGATGTTCCATAAATGCTTGGATAATGAACAGGCACCTTATCATTAGGGTCACTTTGAGATGGGGGGGGGCTCTGGACCATGGAGCTGGTTCTGAAACTGATGAGGAGCAGAGGCCTAGTGTAGAGGAAAATGTGCTCAAGATGTGTGGTCCATAGACAGCAGCACTGGCATCCCCTGGAGCCTGTTAGAAATACAGCTTCTCAGACCCCAGACTTGGGTGATTTGTATGCAAATTCAGGTTCAGGAAGCGCTGCTTTCAGAGGCTTCCTCCGGCCACATGATGCTAAGGGAGAAGACGGACCTTGGGAGTTAACCAACCAGGAGACGGAAGACCCTGAACAGGCCTGGATGACTACCTGGATGTGTCCCTAAAGGATCCCGTTTCCCCCTACAGCCAAGTCCTGAGTTTTATTTCAACCCACATTTGACCTCATAGAGCACATGGTAACTGACTACCTTTTTCTGGGGAAAATGCTGTTTGCCAGCCAGTGACTTTTTTCCATGGACACCAGGGAACTGTAGTTCCTCCCCTGGCCTTGTTGCCAGCTGGACATGGAGAAGGGACAGTCAGCCTGCAATGGACTCACGCTTTATATGCCCAGGCCTCTGGCTGACTTTGCATTGCTGGAACCAAGCAAAGGACATATGAAGCAGATTGTACACGTATCCTCTCCACCCATCCCACCCCACCCACCTGGACATGTAAGTCACTTGTAGGCTAGGTGAGGGGACAGAGTGGCCACAGCTAAGGAGCCCGAAGCTTCAGGGGTCTGTGGATGGACGTGGATGGGTGAGTCCTGACCAGGAGGCCAACATAGGCTGTCTGCCGGGTAAGGCAGTGGGGACATGGGCTCAACATTCAAGCACAGGGGCTATTTTATACCAAAGCAGGAGAGATGGACGTTTCTAGAATTCAAGTTAGAGCTGGACCAAGACATTCTCTGCCACCAGTAACTTCTCAGTCACAGACATACCCAAACCCTAGTCTGAAGACAGCAGAAGCTCCGAATACTTCGGCAGCAAGTGGATACACGGACTGGGGTGGGATGAGATGCAGGTTTGCTTCAGTGTCTCATCAATTCACCAGACCTGGAACAAGTACCCCCCCATCAGGTCCACAGCGGCCCCTAGTCCGAACAGAAGCACTTCCCACAATTATTTCTTGACAGGCCAGCCTACATGGCTTCTTTCCACTTTCAGCTCTCAGGGGTGGCTTTCCTAGTGGTCTGAAGAAATAGATCTCTGTTTTATTTGGAGCTACCTCAGCTTAAATACCTGTAATCTTGTTGAATCATTCCCATGCTTGGCAAAGACAAGGCCCACATCCCAGGGCCATAAATAACTCCCCTTGCTGTTTTGGGGGGCTCTGAATTCCATTCTGCCTCACCCACCCAAAGCCTCTTCCTGACACCACCACTTTCCTGGGCTCCTGTGTCAACAGCCCCCAACACGGGCATACTGGGTTGCTCCAGGAGCAGTTGGCTGTTTGACTCACTTGCAAGCAGGAGACAGTTTAAGATAGTCTTTAGGTGTTGCATTTGCAATACTAGAGAAGAGCATTCTGGAGATTCTTGTGGGCATAAAGAAAGGAGAGTGGGGACAGAAGTGGGCATTTGGAAAGAGGATGAGAGGGGTTGTAAATTCCACTCAGGTATATGCCCAGATAATGGCAGTACTACTATGTGGTAGATGAAGGAGGGTCTTGGAATCTTCTTGGCTTTTAAAAAAAAAAATTCTTATCTTTTTATCTTGCCTTTGTCCCTCGGTAACTCCTTTACCTCGCTTTCCTCATCTGTAAAATGGGCTGTTGTAAGGTTTAACTGGAATCATGCACATAAAGTGCTTAGTACAGTGCTTGCTAGCAGAAAAGCGCTCCATTAATGGCTGCTATTCTTTTGCTCCTGTCCAGTAACTGGGGTGCTGGAGGAAGACACACCACCCTCCCAGCCCCCAAGCTGAGGAGCGCTCTAGGGAGGCTGATGGGAAAATACCGTGCATTAGGCCAAGGGGCGGTGGCCCCGGGGACGGGCTCTTGGAGGCCCCAGGTGGCCGGTCTGCCCAGGCGTCCGCCCTCCCCAGGTCTGCGCGGC